CCACTCCTGGGAAGATTGGCAACTGTCTTGAATGTTTTCCACTTGTGAATAATCTTCCCTACTGTAGAATAATGGACTTCAATTGTTTGGAAATGGCCGTATAACCCTTCCCAGATTGATGGGCAGCAACAATTGCTTCTCTAAGATCATTGCTGAGGTCTTTCCTCCTTAGCATTGTGTTTTAACACACCTGAATGCTTTAGACCAGCAAACTGCCAAAACCTCTGCTTTTATAGCGGTGATCACACTTGCTGATGATCAGTTAATCAAAGGCGTTTGATTAGCAGCACTGACTGTTACTTGTACTCTTAATTCCTATGGATAGTGTACTTAGATTGTCACACATGGCTGCTTCATTTTGGCCTAGTTTTTGTTCAATAAATAATGACACGGCATAATATGCCATGTGTTATTTTTCATCTGAGGTTGTATTTACCTGATTTTGAGACCTGCCAAGGACCAGAAGATTTTTGTATTATGTCCTGACATATGTAAAACCATAGAATTCAATAGGGGGGGTATCCTTTCTTTTTTACATAACTGCGTGTGTGAGGTGGTTATACATTTTTTTTTTTTTTTTAATAATGTAAATTATTTTTTTATAATATTGTTTATTTTTTTACATTTTTCATTTATGTATTAGTATTATTATGTCTCTAAGTTTTATTTTAGTTTTAGAGAGTTTACTTTTGAATTGATGGTTCTGTTCTGAGTCTAAATTCTTTTAATCGGTTCGTTCTGTTAGCCGATGTAGTAGCAGCGTATCTGCTTCCCATTTGTTGATCCTGTCTAGAATGTCTAACAAAGATTAGCACTGGAGACAAATGCCACTGGGATCTTGACACTTTGGGGATTGGAAATATAATCCGTTTTGCCCGTTACTATCAGTTGAGTTATAATCCTGCATTCTGTGCTGCCACAAGGGCTCACCCAAAGTCCATAGACACAAATGTCCCTTAGAGCTGCCCACACTTGGAATGAAGTTAGTGGAGTACATTAAGAAGAAAACCATAAACTGGCTTTGCTCATTGTACACATTCAACAGACGATGACAGGTGTTGTAGATTGGTCCGTTTCTGGAGTCCCACCTTGCCCAATTATGTAAGGGTGAAGGATTCCGTTTGATGCCACAAGATTTGATGCAAAAAATGGAACCGAAAACTCAAATGGTTATGCTAATATCTCAATTGCTCAGATATTTGATATTCTGAATTGTACGTGTTATACCATGACACTGTCAGCATCTGCTGGTGCCAAATAACGGTCATCGACTGTTGGTTTCATTTCACTCATATTGATGTGATGAGTCAAGTCCTGCTCTTCCATCAAGCTATTCACCTTTGCATTTACTCATTAAATTTTTTGGTTTATCTCATTTCAGTCAAATGTTGGTTTTAAATTAGCTCAGTATTGCTGAATTTGTTATCTGATATTGCTTTGGGAACGTTACAGTCATCCGAAAGAAGATATCCACATCTGTCCGAATGTCCCAATGACCACAATTTTCGGGCAGCAAAAGGTCAAAATTAGCATGGAAATTGACTCTATGTTCCCCAGCGACAATATTTTGATCCCGAAAGATAAAATATATTAAGAACAACATTAAATGTGCATATTCCTTTTTTAAAGAAAGGAATAAAAAAATCCTAAATATTCTGCACGGACATTTTTTGAAATATTGTGTTTTCCCCCTGTATATACACAGTATGTACAATATACAACCTGAGCAGACTAATATACAGTTTTTCCCACAATGCACTAGGAAGTAATATGAGACCCAGTTTTCTGCACTGGCAAGTAATATAAGCACATATTATTTCTTTGGACTGCTGAATTTTTTCTTTTTACTCCATTATTTAAAAATAATAATAATAATTAAGCCACTGAATAGGATCTATTTTGATTTCAGGTTATAGATTATACATTAACCCCAAGCGTGAGCAGTACTAATAGTGATGCTTGCTAACACATGGGGTTCATGCTTGGGTTCATGCATATTTTACACTATTAGAGCGTGAATGAGCTCTTGTGTTCTGATAACAAGTACAGTATGTCACAGTGCCTCTCTGTCTCTCTTCATGTCATGTCTGAGTCACCCAGCACCCCACGGCTCTCGCTCTTTCTGCTTCCCCTGATGCCCTCTCTGCCTGGCCCTGTCCCTCCATTTCTCCCTTCACTCCTATTCATTGCCAAACTTCCTTCCTGTTGTCCTTTCCTGGCATGCGTTGTGCACCAGCATGCCAATGTTGCACCATTTTTACTATCAGCACCAACAACACATAGAATGGGACAGGGAATGGAAAACCATTACTATCGCTCTGCACTCCTGGCATGAGTGGGCGAGCTCCTGTCAAGTTTCCAACCTTTCTGCCAGCGTCCCTTTTCAAATCGGAAACTGCGGCATATGTTATAAGTTAGGCTTCGAATAAGAAGCTACTGCAGGCCCGGCCATCAGAACTGAGATTGGGTGATGTGTTAGCTTAGACATCGCTTCCTATAAAGAAACTGAGATGTTTTACAGGGTTTTTTATTTCTTTTCAGTTTCATTATTTGTTGACATGAGATTGCATATGGTATTTTATGGCCATTCTGGGATGTAGGAGTTCTGCTCAGGAATGGATATTTATCGTTTAGGATTGTGTGTGTTGTCAACCATCATGAAATGGTGGGGGGTTGTATATTTTTGTGTGGTGGGAGTGATGCAGGCATGCACTTCGTTATAACTCATGCAGACAGCAATGCATTATGGGAATTTATCAAAGTAGATTTCTTGCTCAGTTATCCTATTTTCCGCTTTATTGGTTGTTCTCAGGTGCCTTTTTATATCCCTCATGTAAATAATGACTTTAATAGCTAATGAATAGTTGACATGAACTGTTTATTATTATTTATTTGTTTGTTTATTTATTTATTTATAATAACTCTTAAAGACCTTCTTTGTCTTAATATCTTCAACATCTCTCCTTAATCATACGAGTCCAAACCTTTTCTTGCTCACGGTTTAACTTTTGCTATATTGTTTCATGTCCCATTACAACCCTTTATAGGAATGGCAGATGAATTTAGATCCTTCTGCTCTTTTGCCTTGTCCCTTCAGGGCTTTAGATGTTTAGCAGCCTCTGTGTCAGCTCTTTTATCAGGACAGACATTCAGGCATCATGATGGACTGTTATCTCACCCTCATCCTATCTGACTATACAAAAACCAAGACACTTCTCACCTCTCAAGATAAGGCATGACTGGTGTCATGATGATTTACAATTCACAGTTTAATGAGAGACATCCATCAATAATGTGCAGTGTATTAATTAAAACAAACTGCAGTGTGTTAAATTGTGTTTTTGACCAATAATCTGACTCCATTGACTTCAATGGAGTCAGATTAATGGCCAAAAACACAATTTAACACACTGCAGTTTCAATCAAAATTGAACCAGTTTAGTTAAATTCACATTCTTGGTCTGATTGTGAATGAAAGGGGAGAGATTTTTATTCAACTGTGTTGGAAAACAGAACTTATCTGCAAGCTAGTTGCCTGAAAAACTATTTACATATTCAAAATAGTGTATCAGTTCTTCTGTAATGTACCAGAAGAGGTCAGCTGAATCAGAGTACAGATTAAATATTACCACAGAGATAAACAAACACTTGAGTCACGAATATTAAAATGTGTTTTATCCTCTTGCTTTTGTGATTGTTTCTTTTTTTTTTTTTAATTTGAAGATCACGCCTAAAAATAGACATGCGGTTTCAGAGGTGGGGGGCGTTTGCCTCGTTAGAACAGTTAAATGTATTTAGGACAGATACCTCCATGCCATAATTTAACTACGCTGTAAGCTGATAACCACACATGATGGGAAATACACAAAAGGTATATTAAATGTGAGTACCAGTGGTAGTAGTAGTTGGACATTTCAGATCCAGAGTAAACGCCTTGCTTGCATGAATATCCACACCAGGACTGGGAGGTCCAGTTCTTCTTGCAGCTGTCTTTGAAGATGCTAAAGTCTGTAATATAAATATCAAAGAGACTGGCACGTCTCTCATCAACACTCAACCCAATGCAGTTCATAAGAAATGAGTCATGATGAATCTATGTGCCTACACAGAAGCACATAAAAAGCAATTATATGCGTACTATAAGAGTCATGAGCAGACTCTGTTCCCTCAGAGCTCAGAGAAAAGCTCCTCAGATTCTGTAGAATTGGAATACCTGTCATTCGTGAAGTTGTGTGCAGCCATGGCCATTTTATACACTTCATTTATGGCTAGGGATGGGAATCGAGAACCGGTTCTTCTCAAATAAGCAGAAACATTTGGCCACACAGCATGAACAGACTTTAGTCCCATGAAACTTAAACTGGAATGTCATTATGTCACTGTTTCTGTCACTGCGACTTCACGAACAGGTGAACACGCGCACACACGCACACATCAGTTTTGAAGTAAAATTGAGGATGCAGTGCATGTAATGCATCGAGATATCGAATTGAACTGAATCGATGACATGATAATCGTTATCGAACCGAACCGTGAGACCAGTGTAGGTTCACACCCCTAATTCTCTGTGCTGTGTCAGTGAGTTAATAATAATTAACAAACAAATAAGTTATAAGTTCAATAAGTTAATACAAACAAACAAATTTGTACTTATTCCCTCACCCAATGAGAATCAATAAGAGAATCGATAAGGAATTGAATCGATAAGCAATATCGATAATGGAATCGGAATCGTTAAATTCTTATCAATTCCCATCCCTATTTATGGCTAGAATACGCATGTCTACTAGTTTTGGCCATTTAGTAGTTCAGTTGGTCTGTCTACGTCATGTTGAAATGTTTGTTTGTTGCTTATTCTACTCTGTACCATGTGAAACCACGTTTGTTAATTATTTAAATGTCAACATATTATGTCTATGAGATCTACCTTGGCCTCCTACTTGACTTGATTTTTTTTATGCTTTCATTGACTCGTTTTCTGTATTTGTATTTCTTTTCAGGGTGTCTTCACACTGTTTTTGGGGCCCTTCACCTTTTTTAATGCGCAGAAGACCAAATACCTCCAGATCGTCACCTCTGTAATGAGATGGATTGGTAAGTACCTTACTATTGATTTTTTTATTGATTTTTTTTTTTTTTAATTTTTATTTATACACTATACAAATAATATTTTTGTTATTACGTTGCAACAAAACATAGTCTATTGTATTCAAGATTTACCTTATGGACAAAATAAATTACATGGTGTTTTGACGGAGGTTTGAAATGTTTCTGCAAGTAGGTTTCGTTAAAGCTTCAAAAATATATGTAAAGGACAAGTGCATTCCATCCGTCCGTCTCCGCCTTCTGTCTCCCTCATACTTCAGCCTGACAGCCTAGACAGGCCGTCTCGGGCGTGATTGGGCAGTCAGTTACCAGATGACAGGCCCAAAATAAAACCGCCTATCCTCACCGTCCTCTCAAATCACAGCCGCACTGAATCGTGGCTTCTGCTCCTATGTGCATGCAGTGGTGAATGAACATACAATGCACAAAGAACGTGTATTCTTGCGCAAATGTTCTCAGTGCTCATAGAAACTTCAAAGAAACAACCATGTGTCCTTTTACTCACCTTTCTCTCCTCTCCGTCTCATTGATTCACAATGAGACGTGCATGAGAGTCATTGGCGGTTGGATACGTTTCCTAACAGCTCCACAGGCACTAACAAGGCAAAAAATAAAGGCAGTTTTTCTAGCTGTGTAGGTTTCAGTAATGCTTGTTAAGTGGTGCTATGCAGCATTGTATAGCAATTACTCAACATTTATGCATCAAGAAACGCATAGACCGACTACAGAAATCTGCTGATTAGCATGTGCACCCATATTTCTGCCATCTGTGTTTTAATGTATTGCTCATTTAAGGGCACTATAACCTGAGGGGTGAAGTTGCACATCCTGCTTGCTTCAGCAACATTAAACTGCTCAGTGCAGGTGATGAACTTCACAGCAGTGCTGTTATTTCTCAAACTGTTTTTCCAGAACCTGTTCATGTTCTTTTAGTCATTTGAATCAATATGGGGTCATTTGCACAGTGCATGTATTATGTATGATTCCACTCGGCAAAGCCATCACTGGTCTAGCTGGTCGCTGTTTTCTTTTTGCTTTGTATCGCAGTTTTTGTTCTTTTTGCAGGAATATATCATGGATGCCCTGCAGAACAGTGGTCATCTTTTTGTGTGTGTGCTACTCTTATCTGTCTCTATATTGCTGTTTTTCCTTCGCCTGTTCTGAGCCTCCAGAGAGCTGAAGTAATTATTTGATAATGCATTCTTCACATTGTAGTCTATAGTGTGATTTAGAGCCGTTCAGATCTAGAACTTGGGTATCTGTGGGCCCTAAAGTATTAAAATGTCTTAAATTCACTCTTAAAACTAGGGCTGTAAAAAAAATTGAAATCTTGCTTGGTATTAAAAACTCATTTTACAACATAAAATTGAATATCATCAAATTTCTTCAAAAAAAAAAATGTTTTCATCTAATTTGCTAATTACTAACCTCCATACATGTTTGATATATTTGTATTTCTATTGCACAAAATTGTATAATGTTATACAAACTAGTACCCTATTTTAGTTTTTTAGTTTTTTTTACATTTAGACATTTAAAAGAATCAGTAGGTTTTTATCCCTATACACACAGAGTACACGTGATCGTGAATTCGGAAAATATTGCAATTCCCCGCACATTGATAGCAGCTCTCTGAAGCCCGCAAATGATATACAATATAACAACCCAACTATATAATTGTGAGAGAATGCAAAACCATTGAAATATATTTTTCCTTCCTATCTCTTTTTCCCCCCATCACCATGTCCCTTTAGGGGCTCCATAGAATGCTTCATTTCATTTCCGTATTCGGCTACGGGCACATCCCTAATATCTAATATACAGTAAAGCATGTTTAGTTTGTATTTCTGCACAGACCTTGTAATGACCAACATTTGCAGTGAATATAAAGTGTTTTTTTTTATTTTGTAAGCAGTCTTCAAATGCTGTTTATTTATTACACAGCTCCAAGGAATACTTGATTCTGATTGGTCAGTCACTGCTTTCTGTAGATAGATATTTTTGTATAATGATGCTAAACTGTATATTTCACGGTTCTTCTTGGCAACGCAGGGCTCTAGAGTGCGACCAATTTGGTCGCATATGCGACCAAAATTTGTAAGGGTGCGACTAAATTTTTTCCAAGGTCGCACCGGTGCACCTAACGTCCTCGCGTCCGCTGCCAAGTTTCCATGAGCGAAGCGCTTGTTCTCCTTTGTCGGAACTCACAGCACACTCATGGTTGGATCATATCGTGGTCTAAACCAATCAGAGACAGAGATAGGGCGGGTCTTTGCCTCTGATTGGCTGTGGTAGGCCTACACTGCTCCGTGCTGTGTGACTGAAATTGCGACCTGAGCACCAGAGAATCAGTTACGGCAATCAGCATCAGCAAAAGAAACGCAAGAAAACAGACGACGAACAATGAAAAGAAATAGACCCATAGAGTTTTTTCTTTTAGAAAAGTAGGCCTGTTTCCACCAACACTCTGCCCGGTACGAATGGGTACCGAAACCCGGTATTCAACTTCTGAAAGACCGCTGTATCGATCAGCTCGGACGTGAGTTCTGATGTCGGTAACTTACTGGAGAAATTAAGAAAATACAAATTTATCTTGCGAGCCTTTTCTGTGTATAATAATATTACACCATTTTTGCTATTCGCAGTCCAAGAGAGAGAGAGAGAGATCTCACGCGGAGCCACAGCGCGCAAAACACGACAGCTCTGCTTAATGAGTGACGACGCAGAACTAAACATTCAAACGTAGCCTGGTTACACTTTAGGTCTGTGATATTAGTCTGATTTTGTTTTAGATTTCGGCTTCCAAAGATTATAAAAAAATATATTGAGGTAAAACCATTAAAAACTACAGACACATTCGGTCTGGCGCAGCTTACTTCCATTCGCAGCAGTGCGCTGTCACTTCTCCCTAAAACTCAAACTTAACGACAGAATCAGCTCGTGATTGTTGTAAAATGCAGTCCAGCTACTGTTGCTAAATTGCGGGACGCGTTTAATAATAAAAAGAGCTATTAAAAGCACAAAAGTCTGCACAAGAGATGCTGTTCCCAAGGCGACGCGCGCTCTAAAAACAGAACGTAACGAGACAAGCAAATTATACTTTGGGTTTCATGTGCGTGTCTAAACTATTAAATGTACACAAAAATATGTAAAAATGACCGGCTTGTATTCACAGCTCTTGAATTAATAACTTCAGCTTTAATAAGCATTATCTATCTATGATAAAATATGCAGTGTTATTTTACATTTGATTACTTTATTAGATTTCTTTTTAGACCATACTTGAACAGTAGCTAATGTTAGTAGACCTTCCTGAAATTAAAGCACTGTGTAGGCCTATATAATGTGCATCTTTGTTTAATTGTTTATCTTTGTTTATAAAACAAAAAGAACCGATAAGAATACTGTTAAAGTACCGGATCGCTAAGGAGTATCGGTAAGAGTAGTAGTAATACCGTTAAAACCTTATGGATACCCATCCCTACTCCCCGGTCAATGCTCCGACAACAGCCCAGACATGGAGCTACTTCAGCCACCCGTCTCCCCAGTCCCTGTAAGATGCCAAGCCCTGGTCCTTCCTCGGTGAGCCTACCGAGCCTGAGCTAGAGACTCAAAATAGTTAGTTTGGCAGCTCAGTGAAGCACAATTTTTTTTTGTATACAATATAATTGTGCTTCAAATTAAAAAAAAGTATTTACCTACACCTTATTCTTGTTTAAAATCATTTACATAATATATATGCATGTATATGGAGCATGATAAAAAGCTGAGCTTGAAATTGTGGCGTTAAAGGCGACGGGAGCCGAGGAAACATTTGGGTGCACCTAAATTTTGTGCTGGTGCACCTAAATAAAAAAGTTAGGCGCACCAGTGCAACCAAGGCAAAAAGTTAGTCTGGAGCCCTGCAACTAATTTCCTACATATTGGTGCTAGTTTCCTGTCTCTCGTATCACTCCACTGCCTCTTTCTTCCCACATAATACAATAATTTGATCTCAAATCAATATCCCATGTCCATTTAATTTATTTGGTAATAACAGGGAGAATGTTCTGTCAAGCAGTCATTATTCCAAAATAAACCCCTTCAGAGTGATACAAGATGCTTTCAGGCCCTGTGACCAGTTGACAGTACTTTTATTCATATTATGCTGTGCTTACTAACCGATTAATCATATATATAGTGCTATTATTTCACACCGAAACCAAAGCTGTCAAAATTCTTCCACATTTTTCCCTTCCATCGATGAATATCGGCATATCTGTACATTAGTGCAACCATCCTTCTCTGTTCATTTGAACCAGACAAACTTCTCATGCTGATTCTAAAGATTTGTCAATGGGTTGGTCAATAGGTTGACCAGTCGCCTATTAAATCTTTTGCTTTTTCCATTCACCCTTTCCAGTCTTGTGCTTTTTCCTATGATCTTCTCTGCTCTCAGTCATTACTCACAGCAGACAGCAGGACAAGCAGGCACGTCCCTTGTGTGCCTTTTCACCCATAATGCACAGGAGGAGAGACCGTGCCTGCTCCTGTGTCAAATGAGATGTGGTAAGTAGGATTCGGTTCAGTTGGCACCAAGGGAGCCACTTTGTGTTTTAGACTCAATGCCATCTACTGCCAGCGCGTCACTCTGCTGAACCTTGTGTACCAGAAAGCGGAGCTCACTTATTAGCTCAATGAGCATAACAGCATCATACTTGGCTTAATACTACTTGTCGAGTGTCGTTACTCATCTAGGCACATATATAAAACCTCAGCAGTCTCAGAACCCGTAGCCCTTCACAACCACTTGTATGAAATGCATGTAGTGACTTGTTTATCAGGAACACAGATATGGCATCTTGTCTTTGTACGCAAAGCTGTGAATTTTTGTATGCATTATTTAAAGGCAGTTTTATTGCTGGGGTCATTTACATGGGAAGGATCACCTCCTCTCAGCACTGAAGTAGAGAACATTTATCAGCTTTTGACATGGAGAGCGAAATGAG